GGGGGGGGACGCGTAAATTGTAAATTGGTATTATGACGATGGTTCTGAGACTAGTACTCTTAGTTTTCCACCACCGAGAACTTCTAAGGCATGGCTACGATACGCGAAATATGAAAGAAATTGCATGAAAGAATGAACGAGATACGTCAGCCTGCATCGGCCGATCGACGAGTCAAAATATAATCGTGGAGGAATTTTACAGATTTGCAAGCTTATGAATGGTGGCGATGCGATGCAACGGCCACGCCTCTACAGGCGTTGGTAGAACCTATGTTGGATAGATATACTACATCTATTAGACCAGAATTAAAACATTTCCCCAGCTGTCTGCAGGCTTTGCCAGTAGTTACAGTGCGTGCTGTATGTTGATTATCAAATATGTTATTATTACTTTTTCTTTTTTCCAAAATTGGTGCAATAGGAAATGGTTGTGCTGTGTATGCTAGAAAACATTCGCTGCCTCCCAAGTTGTCATCAGCTGTTCTGGGTAAACCAAAAAAAAAGGTTTCTGTAAATAGAGGTGACTGAATGCAACCGCTCTAACAAACTCCAACTCCATGCATAGATTCCATGCTTGTAAAACCGCCCATTCTGATAGAGCACCCTGCTCGGCATGCCCTCTGCTTCGTAATCTGCGTGCATATACAAGACGGACCGTCAATATGGGCCTCAACTCTGTCCAATAACTCATGGCCTTCATGATTCTGCCAATACTCCGCACTTTTGGCAGGATAACACTGTTTTGCCTCTAGCTAGTCGCTTCACCTTGAAGCTTCGACCTCCGCATTCTCGACACGCCGCTGTGTCGCTGTCGTCTGTGGAATCCGCGCTGACTTCAGCTACCCCTGAATCTGTTCGCTTCTTGTTGGGTACGATGATGTCCGGAACCTCGGTCCCTTCCTCGATACTTTCGCCAACCGAGTCGGATTCGCTGAATGTCGGCCTCAATGTTGCGGTCGGGCCCAAGGATCGACGTCGGTTGACTTCCTCCTCGGCCTTTAAGCTGCGCATGTCGTGGATAGCCAAGCTACGGCGGCCAGGTGCTCTGTCTCCAACTTTCACGCTATCGCCATTTATTTTAGAATTGCCCCCGGTCGTGTTGCCGCTTCCACTTCCAAGGGAGCTTGCATTCAGCGAATATCTCAGGCCAGGTATGTTAGGTTTCCACTTGCTGAGATTCCAGAAGCTCCCTTCTCCCTTGTCTTCGTTCTGCTCCGATTCTGAGGCACTAATGAGACTGAAACTAGGCGTGAGCGGTATGCCGCCATCCTTGTCCCTGCGTATTCTCACAGAATCCCCTTTCGTGTGAATACTGCTTGTTGGACTGGTAGGAATATTTGATTTACTTGCCAAACTAGATGCGTACAGTTGTTTCCTCGCGTCTGACGCAAGGTTGGCAGCCGAGCTGTTGAGGGGGGACCGGCTCGACTTCATTGGGGACAGGGATCTGTCACTCCGACTCGTTGCGAGGCCGATGCCAGGTCTCCCTTCCACATCCTGACGCCAGCTCATGATCCTGTCGGATGCCGGCTGCGTTTGCTGGCTCGCCGACCCAAGATTCAGTGAGCCACGCCGGGAATGGACTCGGCTGCCAGTGCTAGTTCGCGTAGCAATACTGCCCGACCGCCCGACACCGCCAGCGATTCGCCCTGAAAATTTTGACCCCGTCTCCCACTGGTTCTGTTGTCGCTTCATATAGGCACAGTCCTGTCGAAAGACCTTGATAGTGCCGGTCCTGTCCGTAGTTATGATGATGTTCCCGTCCAAGTGTTTTGACCGCTCGAGATATGCAGGGCTTTCTTCCGGTTTTCGGACGCTCGTCGCACCGTCAGTCTGCCCCCCTTCAGAAATTCTGGTCTGACTCGCGTTTCTTTCTTCTAGACTAAGCAACATGACGGGTGGCGGGTTACAGAGGTCAAATATGGGATCTCCAGACGCACTAAGAAGCTGCCTCGTTTTGATTGGTGCCATCAAGGCAGTGGTGACGACTTCCGGGTGTGCATCAAAGCACTCGTACGGCTGCTTATCTTTTAAGTCATTGTCAGCACTACTCGCACTCCAGATATAGGCTCGACGGTCTTCGCTGCCGGATATAATGTATGCCCCATCGTCACTGAAAGAGGCGTGAATCTGACTCGACTGGTTTTCCAAGCCACGGAATTTGACCTCCAACATCTTTGTCCGCATGTTGTATATTCTGACACGGGAGTCATTTGAGCTGATCAGAACCTTGACCTCCTCTCCATTGTCAGAAGGCAAAAAAGCTGTCCGAATGCCAGTGATTTTACTGCCCTTGGCATTCTTCCCTCTCGATGACCGAACGTGGATTTGGGAGTCAAGTTTAAGGCCCTCCGTTTCATAGAACAAACAGAGCCCGCTTAATAGACCGCAGATTGCCATTTTCCCGTCTGGCGAAAATGCTGCTGCCGTGATAAGGTCGCCCGCGTTTACCGAAAACGCAACTGCCTTGTCCGGGATGCTCCACAAGCGTAGCTGAGCGTCCAAAGAGCCCGCCAAAAAGAATCTGTCGTCGGTGGGGTGAAAGGCGATTGATGTCACCAGGTCATTGTGCTTGAACGTACACAGACATTCCGGTCGACTCATGTGCCATAATCTCACAGATTTATCCATGGATGAGGAAAGCAGAAAATTATTCTTACTCCAACTCAGGTCCAACACTTCTCCTGTGTGACCTTCAAACTCGCGTGCGGGCTTGGACCGGAAGACTGGCGCGCTAAGCTTCTCGCCGTCACCACGGCCATGGTTCTCTTCCTCCTCCTCGTATGCCCTCCGTTCTTCTGGGGTAGATATCACGGAGAAGACTCTGACAGTATGGTCTTTTCCAGCCACAGCTAGGTATTGGCCATCTAAACTAAACTCGGTAGCCCAGATGGCGTCGCCAGCTTTCAAGATTTTCGATCCCACAGCTGTTGCCGGCTCTCGGCTCCGTGGTTCGTCTTCAGATGCCCTCTTAGTCCCCAGGAGCTCTTGTGCAAGAAATAGGTGATTAAAGTCGCGGGTTTTCTTGTTGTACGGTTTGACCCGGATATAACGGGGTGGCTCTTTGTGAAGGGGTATGTAACCACCACCGGCGCCAACCACAGATGTCAAAGCGCTGGCGTTGAAGCCGTCGGTCCGAAGCTCGCCCAGCTCGGAATCGGAGTCATTCATGTCATCGTCTTTTTTCCAAGCGCCCCGGATGGCAAGGCGGCTTAGAAATGATGGTACCTTCCTTTGATATGAAAAGTTGAGTTAGCATATGGTACCTTTCGCCAAAGTCGATTAGGCATGCGCACTTTCGGTCTTTATGTGATTCAACAGCAGCACTAAGGGCTTTCCCGTGACTATCAATGCTTTGTCGGTGTTGATTATCTCGAGTAGGACTATCTGCGCGAGCAGAATACAACAATCGCTGAGCCATAGTGGGCTCCGCGTTGCTATTAGTCCGCAGAAATATTTGCTGGTGCCATAAGACGGGCTGAGTCAGTAAGACCGTCTTGGAATATTCAAAGTTGGACGGCAAATGTCGGGCGAAACTTACTGTGCTCAATGGATCCAGCCCAATACTGGCTGAGTTTGTGCCAGATGGGGTCTTAGACAGTGGCTTTTGTTCCTTGTCCCTGGCATTTTGGGACGTATTGGTCAGCGGCAGTCGAGAATTCGAGGGACGATTCAGCGGGGTAGGCTGTGATAGGCCATGGTAATTTGTTCCTGTATTATTGGTATGTGAGCACAGAACAACAAGGCGCTTAACCATGATTCCCCATCACATGGTCACATTTCGGGGTGTTGGTGCGGTCCCGCCAACCCGATGTCCGCACAACGGAGATTGCAAATACCGTACCTGGAGGATCGGATAGTCCGGGGGTATCAAGGGCCGAGTCGGGAACAGCCTCACCGACTCTGCTCGAGGTGGCCTCCCCATCGCCCGAGATGGCAGGCGAGGATAGCTGAGTCGCCATTGTCCATGCTGCAAAAAGGGTTTTGTGCTAGTTGAAGAGCTTCTGTCCTGGATTAGGGTCCCGGTACTCCGCAAAAGCGGCTGGTCGCATAGACGGCCTGGTCGTCGGAGTTGACAGCCGAAACTCTACAATTAGTTGTGGCTGGGAATCACGCTCGTCGCAAATCGTCGAAATCCGTGAGACGTGGGTATGCGGGATTCCAGAGAGAACCCCAAACACTCCAGACTAGTGACACCCCTCAAAATCCGCCCCGGGCCATCCGGCGGCAGTCGATGTCGAAAAAAATAAACTTGGGGGAGGTTGTCAAGGGGAAATTTTTGGCGTTGGTCTGTAGGGCTGGCGGTAAGACTAGAGCTGAGCGACGGGAAGCCGTAGCTATTTTAGCTTTTTGCCTGTCACGAGCTACAGCCAATCCGCACCCACAAAATACGGCCCAAGATGACCAAGTTCCGAATGGATTACGCCAGTAAGCAATTGCCAATGTTCTGCGTGCAACTAGTTAACAATTGTTTTGTTTAGCTACGGGCGGCCCACGAACCTAGCGTGGCGGACACAAAACCATGAAGAGCACCGAAAACCGCTGATCCGGGGGCGACCATCTACCACACGCGGTACGGTACTCCGCAGATCGTGTGATATCATGGACGACCGCACTACAGCATCCCCCTTGCCTCCCTGTCCCGGCGTTGCACCTTGCAACGTTGAACGACCAGGGCATCGAGGCCGGAGTCGAAGCCCTCTTGGCCCTGCACCAGCTGCCCTGTGCTGACGCCGATCCGAGATATTGTGGCAGATGATGCAGACGAGTCTAGAGCTAAACCGCCATTGGTGGCTCGGGACGGTCATCGACGATGGCTGGTGGCTGCAAAGTGGTGTTACTGATGCTGCCTTGGCTTACCATACACCACCCTTACCATCCGCCATCTCGTTCCATGATACACACGCGACGCGCCAATCCGGCACTTCAGCCTTCAGCCTCCAGCCCAAAGCCCGGAACGACGACTCCTTTTGGCCACGTCTAGCGGGGCGAAAGCGAGAGGACCAAGCTCGATCCGTGCAACGGGGATCAGACACAAAACATTTCGCACTGGCGATTCTCCCTTCGCCGTGGGTCGGTTCGCGCGTATTCGCATTCTTGCTTGGTGCGTCTTGGCTCGCGGGATTTTGAAGAATGCACGCCTCACCTCTGACAAGAGTCCAAAAGGAAAGGTATATTATTACAGTGGCATGCGTTGTATACATGCTTACTGGCCTCCAATGCCAATCGCTGGGTCATTCCATGTGGGCCTGGGGAACTGCAATTCGGCTGATTGTGCATTCTTCTCAATACGAAAATTTCGTTCCAGAACTGGACTGGCATCGAGAAATTGCGTAGGAGGGTTGCCGTCTCGCTTCTTTGAATGCCGGCAAGTTCAAATTAGCATGCATCAATTTCCAATCGTCATCAAATGTATTGTGCATTCCATGACGCTTGCAGGTTTATTCATCTCCACAAAGCCTTGCCAACTAACTACTCCAGCTCTGTCCCACGTCACACCCTTGAAGTTGCAGCAATCAGACGAACGACAAACTGCCCAGCCATGATGGGACATTGCTTGTTGACAACCATGGTACAAGAACGGAGAAAGTGAGGAGAAAATTACGCGCTATTAGTGACGGCTTCCTTCCAAGTATTCCATGACTAAATCCTCTGCCGGGCATTTCTAAATTTGGATGGTTACGGCATGATCAGCAGGTTTTGTTCACTTTTACAGAGTACTCTACGCTGTCTGACGTGAACTAGCATCTCAATCCTCCACCAAGGAACGGGAACAGTCAAGAAGTGAGGCCTTCGAAGCACGTAACTTAGACCCGGGGCGCCACCCGCTATTTAGTGGCGGCGGTTTGGCGGACATCGGGGTTGAGGCTGAAGTCCGTCCTCCGAAGAGTTGGCAAGTTGTTGATTATGAGTTCATTGGCTGAGGTCTGTGTCCTTGGCGGTCCACCTGTCGAGCATGACTTGCGGATATCCGTCTCCCACGTGGGGCTGCGACAAAGTGCGCTCACGATTGCAAAGCGAAAGGAACATCCCGTCTCAGTGAAATAAAGGCTCAATGAAATCGACCCGTCAAGAAGGCTCCTGCTGTGGCCTAGCAGCCTGGTACATGGTGTAACATTATTATATTACTACTCATCCAACCTCCTTGGAACATCGGTACACAAATCATAGAGAATATGGGGGCCAAAGGAGCCGGTGTGTAAAACCTGAAACCTGTCCAGCAATACGCGTATTCGACTCGAGCAAGCAACTATTACGGAGAGATCCCATCATGCTAGGCCCAACTTTGCTCACCGGGTGGGCAAGTCGGGTGCGGCCACACTTCCACAACTTGAATAAAAATCATCGAGGTTTGATGACTGCTACCCAGTTGAGGTTCCATGTCCAGACCTGCATCAGACCTCCCCAATCGAAGCAACTTGTGCCGGAATGCACCCTCCTCGAACTTGATCGGCAAACATATACTTCATTCAGTTTTACCGTCGCATTTGATGAAAAGCACAGATGAGCAGCTGCAGCAACGCTAGTACGAGGCAATGCAGTTTGGTGGTTCTTGAATGGGCTGAGCCGAGGTTCGGGTTGAGAGCCCATCAGGCTCGGTGACGTTGGCTCTCACCGTGACTTTGCAGCCACAGGTCTGGTCAGGCTCCCGCCACAGCGCCACCCCCACTACAAACTCCAGAAACTGCCGTCACCGCAGACTACGGTTCCGCTTCGTTTGGGTACAAAATATATGTGCCATTGGGAGCAACTCGCCAAACACTAAACTTCTTTCCTTGCCAGATTCTCTTCGCCTATATATCCTATATTTCGTAGTTTGCCAATAAGCATGAAGTTGATTGACAAAAGAGTCCTCAAGGATGTGGAGGACGACCAGGTTTCTCTGCTGCCAGAGGATCCTGAGGACATGGTATGTTCTGATCCCCCATGTTGTGTCCTCAACACTGCCGTGAGCCTGGAATCTTACCTGCTGCGAATAGTGGCACGCCTACAACCTCATTATCCCTGGCGATCTAGTACACGCCCATGCGCTACGCAAAGTTGTTACAGTCAACTCCGGCACAGGCGCAGCAGCCGCCGAACGAGTCCACACAGACCTGACGGTCAAGGTAAAGTCGACCTTCTTCGACCCTGTCATATCCTCCCTGCGGGTTTCTGGCGTCGTCGCATCCGAAAACGACCATGTCCCCATGGGATCGCATCACACACTCGATATCGAAGCCAACCGATCCTTTACCGTCATCAAGCCCGATGGTTGGGATTCCGTTTCCAAAGCCACTCTATCACAAGCGCTTTCCGACGACAAGAACGGAGCTATGGCAGCGGTAGTCATGCAAGAAGGGCTAGCAAACATCTGCCTCATAACTCAGTTCCGTACCGTTGTCAAGACTCGCGTAGAGAGTGTTGTCCCTAAGAAGCGCGATACTGCTGCAGATCAGGATGCCGGCCTCAAGCGATTCTTCGACAAGACCCTGTCCTCACTCCTCCGAGCCGTCGACTTTTCAGGCTCACGGCCACTCCTGCTAGCAAGTCCCGGCTTCGTGGCTCAGGATTTCAAAGAATTCATTGCAAAGCAAGGTCGAGACAAGTCAGACAAGGTGCTCACCGCCGTTTCCAAGCAAGCTACAGTTATTCACGCCAACTCTGGGCACGTATACAGTCTGAACGAAGTCCTCAAGAGCCCCGAAGTAATAGCAAAAATGAAGGATATGAGCTACATCAAGGAGGCACAATATATTGACAATTTCTTCGACCTGTTGAAAATGGACGACGGACGAGCATGGTACGGCACAAAAGCAGTGGAAAGGGCAGTTGCCGACGGGGCAGTTGGTCCTGGCGGCGGCGTTCTGCTCGTTAACAACTCATTATTCCGAAGCCAGGAACTGGCAACACGCAAAAAGTACGTGGCGTTGGTGGACAAGGTGAAGAATGACGGAGGGGAAGCACGGATATTAAGCAGCGACCATGAGAGTGGGCAGAGGCTGAAAATGATGGGTGATATTGCGGCTACCTTGAATTATCCCATGATGGATCTGGATGATGACGGGGAGGAGGAGGAGGAGGAGGAGTCAGGGGCGGTTGTGCCCGAACGAAACCACGAAGACGACTACGGCATGCTAGACAGTGTAATATAGGACTGGTTACGAGAAATGAAGTAAAATGGTGAAAAA